CTCTCTCGTCTCGCAGCGCCCCTAGCGACTCGGCGCGTTTATGGGCCTACGTGGAATCTGAGGGTTGCAAGACCTGTATATAAGACCGCGACCACGGTCTTATATACAGGTCTTGCAACTTTAAGCTTCGAGGTGGCTTCCTTAACGTGCCAAGCCGCTAGGTGGCGCTAAGATCGAAGGGGTAAAGTCAATTAAACTACTACTTAGTTAAATGTGGAACTACTGCATAACCATAACCTAACTTTTTAAATTCTTTTTCTACATTTTCAAAAATTTAATATTTGTGAGTTTGTTTCGGATAATTTACGTTAACAAAATAGGAAAACAAAGTCTATACTCTATGCACAAAGTCCTCGGCCGTCACATGCCCAGACCAAACATGTAAGTAAAACATGTTAATGTATAAAATACATACATATATCATATATATGTTACGGCTAATGTGTAAACATGGATAGTTTATAAAGTAGCTGGGTAGTTTATAAACTAGCCAAACTGTCAGCTATTTTAATTGAAAACGTACTAGTATTTTTAACTAAATTAGCGGCTAGTTTGTAAACCAACCAAGGGTCTTGGCTAATTTACTTGAAATTATTTAGGAATCGCTGGATAATTTGTAAACTTTAATGCCGGAACGATAGCTTTGCTGGTTACATTTTGGCACAACACAGGACTTCATGTCTATTAAAAAGCACAAATACAAATGTATAACAAGAACAAATATAACAAGAACAAATATAACAAGAAAAAATAGAACAATATAATACAACAATAACGAATATCACAATAACAATAAGTAAAAACTCCCTGTAACAAAATACACAAGCTGGTTTATAAAAATGTAGGTTATGTTTCTTAACACAGCTGCAGAACATAAGTAGGTAGTTCATTTGACTTTTATCCCATAGACTTTAAAAACTTAGAGCCAGTTTTACAATCGTTAGATTAAGTTAGCTTATTATATATTAGATTAAGTTAGCTTATTATATAACTTTCATAGAAACCTTCTATCTAAGAAAATTATTATTATTATTAGAGAGCTTATCTAACGATTGTAAAACCCAAAGATAAAGAAGGTAAAAACGACCTTTAAACATCTATGGTTTATCCATCCAACTCGATGCGCCATCTGGTGGGTGTCTCATTAGAGAGGTCAGTTTTCCTATTAAAATTGGGCGAAGTTGCAAGACCTGTATATAAGACCGTGACCGCGACAAAAACAATTAAAAAATCCACCATTTGATATTAATATGCCAATTGGCATATCGAAAAATAAAACCCCCGTATGTAGAATATTAAGTATTAAAGGACAAAATATTATTTTAATTGTTAAAAACAGTACAAATTATCTTTTGTCCTTTATTACCTAATATTGCAGATAGTTCAGCTTAGCACGGCAATACGTGCTTTAATTTGAAATAATCACTTAATCTCTTAAAATAAAATAGTCAAAATTCTACTATTTGAATTAGTACCAGCATTGTTTACTAATAAAATAGTCGTTTTCACTTTTAAAAAGTTATTTTTTACTACTTATATTGTTTAAGTTTGACTGTTTCTGAGAGTTAAAAGTTACTAATTTCTTTATTCGTTTGATGCAAACAACAAATTATTGTTTGAGTTAAATGCATATATGGTCCATGGTTAAATGGCCCATACAACAAACAAAGATTCAAAAAGTTTAGCTCAAAACAGCAACATAATAAATATATTCAACTTTAAAATATTATTAACAATATTTATAGACAAATAAAACTGATTTTTATAAAAGTGACTGATAGCGCATTGGTCTGACATACGCTTGACAAGCGACAGACCCGAGTTCAAACCCCGGCTTGGTCAGAACTTTTTTAATTTTAAATCTACTAATTTGACTATTTCATTCAGTAGAATTTGACTAAATATTAGTGACTGCTTTTTCGCTATGGCAATTAGTCAAATATGACTTATACTTAGTTATTTTTGACTAATTCATTTCAAGAGAGTAGGTATAAGAATACTATTCGTATTTGGGTTTGGCCAAAAAATCGAGCAGGTGAGGATTTCAGAAAATCTTATTATTCGGAAGGGATACAAAAAACTATCGTGCATTTAAAAAGTCATGGACTGATTTAAAACCCGATTGGTAAAAATCACAGTCAATAATGTAATCAGCCAATCACTGACGCATAACAATGAATAACTAGCCTCATAATAGTATATTAAAGAACTAATGTCATTTTTTGTAACGGACGGGTGCAAGAAAATGTCTTAAGCTTAATTTTCATGTATCCGTTTGTCCGTTATACGTTTTTCAATAAAATCGTCCGATAAGAAAAGTTCTAATTTTCATGCATCCGTAATTTAATGACGTTTAACGGATTGATTTGGCGACAAATAAAGATTTACCTAATGCTTAATTGTCATAGTTACAATTATGTCAACAATTGTAACTTTATCAGTTAGCTGTCTAATAAATTTAAAGGTAGGTAAATATACCATATAAAAAGAATATACTAGCCTTAATTTACATTAAAATGTATAGTTTTAAAAAAGCAGGTCCTTTTAGTTCTGGTTTTAATATTTTATTGTTTATCTTTTCTTTTTTTCTCTTATTATTATTAAATAAAAACATAAAAGTAGAACATTATTCACATAACGAACGTTATATTTCCGTTTATAAAATAAATTATCTTAAAATAACGTTAGGCGTCAAAAACAGATGTGTAGTGACCACGGTCTTATATACAGGTCTTGCAACTTTAAGCTTCGAGGTGGCTTCCTTAACGTGCCAAGCCCCTAGGTGGCGCTAATCTTCTTCTTCTTCCTTGGTGGCCAAAGGCCTTAATGGTCTCGGTTTTAATGTACCACTTTGACCAGAAGCAAGTTTTAACGTCTGTGCGTTTCACGAAGCCATCCACCCATAGACACGTGAATTTTCCAATCTTGGAACATCCACTAAATCATTTGTACAAATCGCAAAATACCTCGCTAAAAGGTCAAAGCCTGCGATATTGTTCAACAATACAGGTATATTTCTATACCCGGAATCCAATTTTGTCCATCCTGGGTCAAAGTCAGCTATGTTTCATACTTTTTCATCGAGCGATGGTCCAGAGCTGCGAATGCGATGCACTACACACGAAAGACAAAATCGAACTCTAAGATCGAAGGGCAAAGTCAATTAAATGAACTACTTAGTTAAATGTGGAACTACTGCATAACCATAACCTAACTTTTTAAATTCTTTTTCTATGTTTTGTTTACATTTTCATAATTTTAATATTTGTGAGTTTGTTTCGGATAATTTACGTTAACAAAATAGGACAACAAAGTCTATACTCTATGCACAAAGTCCTCGGCCGTCACATGCCCAGACCAAACATGTAAGTAAAACATGTTAATGTATAAAATACATACGTATATCATATATATGTTACGGCTAATGTGTAAACATGAATAGTTTATAAAGTAGCTGGGTAGTTTATAAACTAGCCAAACTGTCAGCTATTTTAATTGAAAACGTATTTTTAACTAAATTAGCGGCTAGTTTGTAAACCAACCAAGGGTCTTGGCTAATAACATTGGTTACATTTTGGCACAACACAGGACTTCATGTCTATTAAAAAGCACAAATACAAATGTATAACAAGAACAAATATAACAAGAACAAATATAACAAGAAAAAATAGAACAATATAATATAACAATAACGAATATCACAATAACAATGAGTAAAAACTCCCTGTAACAAAATACACAAGCTTGTTTATAAAAATGTAGGTTATGTTTCTTAACACAGAACATAAGTAGGTAGTTCATTTGACCTTTTATCCCAAAGACTTTAAGGACTTAGAGCCGGTTTTACAATCGTTAGACTAAGTTAGCTTTTATTTGGCGGATACCTTTCATAGAAACCTTCTATCTAAGAAAATTATCCACCAGAGAGCTTATCTAACGATTGTAAAACCCAAAGATAAAGAAGGTAAAAACGACCTTTAAATATCTATGGATTATCCATAACTCGATGCGCCATCTGGTGGGTGTCTCATTAGAGAGGTCACTTTTCCTATTGAAATTGGGCAAAGTTACAAGACCTGTATATAAGACCGTGGTAGTGACAGATTAGTTAAAATTATTTTAAATTTCTCCGTCAGACGTACGAAGTTAAAACTTGACGGACGGAAAAAATGTAATAATTTTTGAATTATAATTGGACCAATAAGAGCGCTTCCGGATGAACGGACTGACGGACAAACGGATACATGAAAATTAAGCTTTATGAAATGAGTTCATCATAAAAAAAATTGTATTTGTCAAAATTTTAAGAAAAATTCGTATTAGGTACCTATATATTATAATTGCGTATCATACTGTTGGAGACAAAACGAAACGCAAATGTACTGTGCCTATTATGGTGTTCAAGCATAAAATATTTTTTATATCATAAATTATTATTAAACTCCCTACAGAAATAAAGCAAATATGTCATCATGTCAGTTGAACTTAACCTAAAATGATGTGACAGAATCTTACAAAATTATTTAATTAAAAGCTTAGCAAAAATACTTTATAAAACACGGCGGCGGAAAGCTTATTAATTCTAATTTATTCACACTACTGCCGAGGCGATAATATGTGCTTTCTCCGCCTATCCGTCTATAATATAGGTATTATTGTATAATATATTATCTGTTTAGTGTTGATTTTTATGTGCCTATGCCATAATTAAACACTTGTGTCTATGACAATAAAGTTTAATTTATAGACCGCTTGAAAATAAAAATATTTATCTTTATTGCTTTTATTAATAAGTTAAAATAAAATAACTGCTTTTTTGAATGGGTAAAATTTCTATTATTTATTTTGATAAAAAAACGTAAACAAATTTTTAACGATACATGACCGTGAACTTCACGGCGTTAAGTGCGGCTAGATATTTCAGACTCAATTCCATACCATATAACAATAATAAGTTAATTAATATTAATATTAATTTAAAATATAAATTGAATCCTTACCTGGTGCTTTGGCTCTATTGGCTCTAACATCGACCAATAGGGGCTTTCGTTCAACTTGATCAAACGCCTCATTGTTATTGATATTGTTATTATTATTATTATTCTCTTTCACTTCACTGTGACTCTCAGTCTTACTCTTGCTCCCCGACGCACCATCTACCACATCGGCCAACTTCTTTTTCAAATCCTGCAAAATTCCTCCGCTAGGAGACTTCTTTATGGAAATCAGCGGTTTTTTGCTCGGAACTGGGGGGGATTTCGCCGTTTCGTTCTTGGATTCAATGGATTTTCTTTGGGAAGCCACTGAAGTCACTGTTGTAGCGTGGTTGGGTTTAGCTGCCAGGGGAGGCGTAGGTTTCGCCTCGTCACTTATAATTTCGACAAAATTGTCAGGAAACACGCCTACTTTACCGTTTATTTCGCCTTTCCACCACCCTGGATCTTCCAGGTTTTTACTAAGTACTGTTACCTTGTCGCCTTCCTCTAGGGACAGCTCATCCTCATTTAAGGCTGTATATGAATATTTTACTACGCATATTAATTTACCTAAAAAATAATAAAATTAAAAATAGTTTATGTGAATATTATATACTAAAAGAATATATTATATAGGTATATAAGAATATATTATATTATTATATTGTATATACAAAAGATAATGCAGGCTATTATTTACGAAGATGAGGATAAGGTCATCCGAGTAAAAGGTGAAAAATGCGCATGATCTTGAGAGTAATACTATACTTTTTCTACTCAAATAAAGAAATATAGAATTATTATTAATAACAAAAAACAATAACAAACACTTTCTCTCGATTTTATAGTCGCCCCTTGTATATATTAAAAAATCTGTTTGTCAGTTCCAACCTTACTTTTCCTAATTGGTTCAAATCACAGCGAATATTGAAATAATAACTGATGCCTAACAACGTGAATAATTAGTTCATTATTCCCGTTGTTAGGCGGATTACCATTTTATCAACAAAAAAAAGAAATGTCAATAATATGCAATAGAAGTAGAAAGGTTATATTAATATTATTACATTAGAAATTACCAAATTATAGAGCGACATTCGACAAAAAACATGTACTTAAATGAGAGTAATGATAGAATAGAATAGAATAGAGGTTTATTAAAGTAATAAAAATTACATTAAACGTCAAATAAACTTTAAAAATTTAAAAATTTATAATTAAAAAACTCTTCCAGGTTATAAAAAGGATTTAATGACAAAAATGATTTAAGGTCTCGAGAGAATTTCTTCTTTGACTGTTGTTCCTGGTAGATGATTGAAGATTTTCGGACCCCAAAAATCAATACATTGCTGGGTAAGTTTGGATTTATGCAGAGCTGTTTTGAGTTTATCTTTTTTTCTTGTATTGTAATCATGCAAATCACAGTTCTTTTTAAAGGTTTTTAAATTTGAATACACAAAATTGGAACACGATAAAATTTATATATTAGTAAAAGTTAAATTTTTTTCTGAAATAAAATATTGTCTACAGCTGTCTGTCTGTTTTATGGAACATATTACTCTTAACGCTTTTTTTTGCAACAAAAATACATTTTGGGACTCACCAGATAAACCACAAAAAAGTATGCCCTAACTAATTTTGCAGTTTCAGCCCCAAAGCGAGCCCTGCTTATCAGGAACAAACTTGTTTGGCTACTACTAGCGCCATCTCTTTGATTTTGTAAGGACTTATTGACCTACCCTCATATCGCTCATTCGAAACAACAATGACACAACTCAAAAATCACAGTTTTTGAGAAAACGCATTTTAAATTTCTTATTACTGTTTTTTAGAGAGTATGCCTAAACAATAAAATATTGAGCCCAGATTTTATTTTTTGAGCACGGCTTGGTTAATGGAAAACAGTAATAACAAATTTAAAATGCGTTTTCTCAAAAACTGTGATTTTTGAGTTGTTTCATTGTTGTTTCGAATACATATTATGTATTGATTTAATTTTAGGTAAATTCACAATCCACACATCAAGGTCTGTTCGATCTCGTACTAAAAATACTAAACATTATTTAATGGCGGTCATTTTTATTGTTTACAATTCTAGTGCTTTGGATTTGTACAGATTAATAATCGTTTTAAACGTTGTGTTTCTAATAGAGGCACTTGTAAGCCTCAAATGAGGCCTTAAAGTGGTAAAGCACAATCCACACAACAAGGTCTGTTCGATCTCGTATTAAAAATACTAAAAATCACTGCAACACTGCACATCATTCAATGGCGGCCATTCTTGTTGTTTACAATTATTTCTAATAGAGGCACTTGCAAGCCTTAAAAGAGACCTCAAAGTGGTAAGAACAATCATTTTACTCCTCTTTTGTAAAAAATAAACCTTATTCTATCAGGGCTGTCAAATGTCAATTTGAAGGTTAATTTGTGGGTTATAAAATAACCTTAAAATAGACATTTGACAGTTTGATGACAGCCTTGATAGAATAAGGTTTATTTTTTACAAAAGAGGAGTAAAATGATTGTTCTTGCCACTTTGAGGTCTCTTTTAAGGCTTGCAAGTCTCTCTGTAAGAAACACAACGTTTAAAACGATTATTAATCTGTACAAACCCAAAGCACAAGAATTGTAAACAACAAAAATGGCCGCCATTGAATGATGTGTAGTATTTTTAGTACGAGATCGAACAGACCTTGTTGTGTGAATTGTGGAATAAAGTTTATTTTTAACAAAAGATGAGTAAAATGTTTGTTCTTACCACTTTGAGGTCTCTTTTAAGGCTTGTAATTCCCTCTGTAAGAAACACAACGTTTAAAACGATCTGTACAAATCCAAAGCACAAGAATTGTAAACAATAAAAATGGCCGCCATTAAATGATGTGCAGTGTTGCAGTGATTTTTAGTATTTTTAGTACAAGATCGAACAGACCTTGTTGTGTGGATTGTGGGTAAATTATTAAAATATAAGTTGTAAATAAAATTTAATTGCATTTAAATTAAGCTGGATTTATAGTTGGACGTAGACACAGTGGATACGTAAAAAACGGACTGTAAAAAAGTATTCAATTTATAAATCGACGGAACGAAATTTTTGGGCATGCGTAGCAGTGCTCGGATATCTGAAACGGTGTCGACCCTCTCTCCAAACGAGCTCGAGCTCGTGACGTCAGGAAAGGCGGTGCCACTCAGCCCATTCGTTGAACCTGAACGGTTTGGCCACCTGATAAAATTTAAACTTCGCGCGTAAATGTAGGAAATTTTATTTTAAAAGGTTACCATCACTAATATAACGGTTATATTAAAAGGAGGTTATTTTAGCTATTTTCGCGGAGCTAATCCCGAACTAATTCCGAACATCCTAGGCGTTCAAATTGTAAAGTGCGCATGACAAATATTAAAATGCGCATGCCTAGGATGTCCGAACTAGTTCGGGATTAGCACCGCGTAAACACCTATAATAATAATTATTATTCTTTGATTAAATTAAATTAAATATATTTTTTATTTTATCAATAATATTTCATTGCATAAAAATAATTTTTTATTTAATTTTTTTTAAATTTCATTAAATAAAAAAATGGATTAATAATTTTCATTAGGTACATAAATATGTACATTTTTTATGTCAATATATTTTTTATTAAATGAAAAAGTATTTCCTTTTTTAATGAAATATATTTTTTAATGAAATTAAATATAATTTAATAAAAAATTATTTCCTTATTTAATACATTTTTTAAATAAAAAAACAATTTTTTATGGAATAAAATATATGTTCTCATTAAATAAAAAATATTTTATTGCATAACAATATTTTTTTAATGAAAAATTATTTTGCGCTAAAAATTTGAGAAACCTATTTTTTTCTATAAAATTCTACCGTAACGAGGAAAAACTTGTAAACAAAAAAATAGATTTTTGACAATTTTTTAAATTTTAAAAAATCTTGGGCGACCCTTAAACAATTTATTCTTGCATCCCGGCCATTTCAAGCATGAGGAAATCAAAAAATTGTTTTTATAAAAAAATTTTTATTATATATTATTTCTGCATAAAAATTGTCAAACATTTTCTTCTCTTATTAGGCTCTAAATGAAAGAAAAAAAACGCAAGAAATATTTTATAAAATAGAGATAATTTTAATAATGGACAGTTGTGGATGGGACAGGAGAAATAATTTTTTTCCACACAACTGTTAATTATTAAAATTAAGTATCTCTACTTTTACAAATTATTTCTTGCGTTTTTTTTGTTTAATGTTTAGATCAAGAGAAGAATATTTTTAAAATTTTGATACTAAAATATTATTTAATAAACTACCTACAATTTTTTTTATAATAACAGTTTTGTGATTCGTGCGTTTCGCGCGCTTGAAATGGCCCATCCGTCAGGTTAATTAACGCGCGAAGTTTAAATTTGATTTGCCAATTCAACACGAGAGAATAGTATATTAAAGTACAAGTTGCAGAAGGCCACATATTCTCGCACGAATTCGAAATTTGGCCTCGAGCGACGAAGGAGCGAGTGGACGAACGAATGAGTGCGAGAATAGCCTTCTGCAACGTGTGATTTATACTATTTTCTCGATTTTAACTTTTATTTAGGTTTTTTTAATTGTTTTGTGGTCGTTGTTAGTTGGGGGATTTTTCTCGCAAAATGTCAGTTGGCAACACAAAATGACAATATTTGTTATCTTGGACACTTTTTCACATTAAACTTAAAATTTTGCATTAAAATGCATTGTTGGAGCAAACTTAATATTACAAAACAATAATAAAGGCTTCATTTTCAATAAAAGTGTAGTTCAGGTTGCACTAGTGCAGGATAACAAACAAAGCTATTATAAATAATCCTAAAAGTAATGAATTTGAGGTTATTAAACAGTTTGACATTTTGGGGGTACCAATACTTAAAAACAAAATGTTACCAAAAATCGTTTAAGAATGAGCTTCATTCTTCAACGATTTTGCGTGCGAGAATATGACATTCTTACATAAAAATCGAGAAACACAAATTCTCTCGAAATATTAAGCCGGGTCTACAATTGTCGCAGATCGCAGAACATAAGCTTGCGCCGCCACATCGCGGGGTGCTTTGCGCAAGCTTATGTTCTGCGATCGGACCCCTGCGACAATTGTAGACCCGGCTTTAGACAAGCTTAAATTCGCTTGTTTACAAACAAAAAATGTTCAGGGTCAACAAATTCGCCTTTCCTGACGTCACGAGCTCTGGAGAGAGGCCCTCTCTGAGAGGGTCGACGCCGTTTCAGATATCCGAGCACTAAAGGTACAGTTTCGTTGATGCGACTCGCGGCTGCGATCGTAGCCGCTCCACTGCTTAGTACAATTTGTTTGTATATGTTTTGGTTGACGCGTTCAGTCGCAGACTGCGACTGAACGCGCCAACCAAAACGTATACAAACAAATTGTACTAAGCAGTGGCGCGGCTAAGGTCGCAGCCTCAAGCCGCAGCCGCGAGTCGCATCAACGAATCCGTACCTTAATGCGTAGTTGCGCCGCTGGATAACCTACAAATTATACGTAATTTTTTTCGCACGAGGATAATTGTAA